AAATAGAATTAAAATGGGACTTAATGCTTTCATATGATTCTTTTCATCTTATATAATTCTTTAATCTTTAAAGATATTTTTATTCTACAACTCTGGAACCGTTACACAACTTTGGGTTTTCAATTATGTAAAATTGAATCATATCATCACATAAACTCATATAATCATCATATGAAACATATAAAAACATTTATATACATGCAATAAATAGTCCACCAAAATACTTACAAATAGAAAAGGGCTTTCCAGATCAACATATGGTTGGGTTGTCAGATCTACTTTTAGACTTCTACTTGCTCCTGGCTAACTGCAGCTACTCTACAAAGAGTTGCTGTCCCATAGCCATCATGAGATAATCAACCATCAAAAGGAATAATTGGAATTTGTGCACTTTGTTCCTATTCTAACTTGAAGAAGGGTTCCTATATTTCTATGTTCCTGAGCTTCTCTGTTCTTTTGAAGATTACAAAAGGCTAATGTTTCATGATCATAATAAAATCCATATATAAATTCCAGATCGTGCCTTCACAAAAACTAGTAAATTATTTGTTGACCTAGGGCTAAAAAGAAAGTAATTCTCCTTTGAATAACAGCTTAAAAGAATTGCCTAAGCCTTTTTTGTTTGAAATTCTGTTTGGAGAATAGAGTAAGGTTCAGGAAACCTCCAAACAAGCTTCTACCACTACTTCCCTTTCTTCTATTGGTTTCCTGCTTTAACTGGCCAACTTCCTAGCTTCACTGATAAGCCCTGCCAAACATGGTTTATTTTTCCAATACTGAATATAGATCTGTACTAAAGCAAGTATGGTAAATCTCTCATTTATAAAAGGGATAATATGGCCAGGCTCTGACTCAGCACTTTGGGAGGCTAAGCCGGGCAAATCACCTGAGGTTCAAGACCAGCCTGGCCCACAAGGTAAAACCCTATCTCTACTAAAAATACAAAAAATTAGCCTGGCATGGTGGTGCATGCTTGTAATCCCAGCTACTCAGGAGGATGAGGCGGGAGAATCCCAGGAGGCAGAGTTAGCAGTGAGCTGAGATCAAGCCATTACACTCCAGCCTGGGTGATGAGAGCAAGACTCCATCTCAAAAAATAAAAAACGGGATAATATTGGTACTTGTAGGGTTGTTGTGTGGAATAAATGAACAATACATATAAAGCACCTAGAATAGTAACAGTAGCACCCTGTAAGTGTTGTAGCTATTATTATCAAACCATGGGTGAATAAAATTTGACATGCAATATGATCAGTTTTCACATATATTATTGAAAAGCCAAATAGTATTGCTTTAAGCCATCTAATAATAAAATATCGTTTAAGAGGAATGTAGAGATAATTTACTTCATTTTTAGAAAATAAACCACTAATTTTCAAAGTATCTTGAAATAGAAAAAGACAAAGACAGTGAGATTAAGGAAAGCTGGGCTCAGTGCCCAAAGTAACAGCCATTTGCAAACAACTAAAAAAAAAAAAATTCTAGAGAAGGAAGAATCACTAAGGGGAAAAAAGGTGGGCCTTGAATATACATGTTATATAAAAATACGTTAACATATAGCAATTAAATCTAAAAATATATCATTTGCCATCCATGTAAATGAAAGTATACCTCTGTTCATTGTGACATCATATAAAATAACAAGAGATTTTCATCAAATTCGAGCAGTATATCTGAATGGTCTGCCTTAAAATACTAACTATATGAAGTTATTTTTGAGAGTTTCTTGATGGCTAGAGTGGGGGTTGAGTAGCAATCAGTTATTTGTCTCCACTTAGAGTAATATCATAAAGATTTCAATTAGTTGAGTTTGTAAGGCAATATTGTTTATATTTACACCACCATTATATTTATGGGGCCTCCAATACTCATTAATTTTTCAAAATGATTTTAATCCGTATTTTTCTGTGGATTCATAGAAAAAATAAATCAGGCAAACCCTAGCCCAGAGACAAGAAAGTCTTACTTATACATTAGCAAAACCTAAAAGAAATCCTGATTTTGCATATAGTCCAAAAGTAGTCAAAAGGATACCTGCTTGAGGATGAAAACCTCTGTGATAGATTATATTACTACTCCCAGATATTTTTGTCCCTCCCACTGGGCAGACTTTACCTCCTCACCTTGGATGGCAGTCTT